GAACTTCCCTGACTTGTAAGGTTAATGAATGGAGGAGGTGAAGTTTGAAACCAAGTCCTTTGAATCTGAATCTGGAACTGCTAACTAAAAACTGACAGAACTTCTAGAAGAACTGTGGGGAGGCTATAGAAAACTTGTTTTAGTCACAGTCAAACCAGCTCTATAACCTGTAGTCTCTGTGGAATGTGCGTGTATGTGGGGTGGGTGTGGGCGGGAATGCCCAAAGCAAAATAACCCTCTGACATGTATAGATATATTAGGGGCCACTTGGGCTTTGCTGAGCTAGGGAGAAGTTATAACCCCTGGGACCTGGAATTTTGACTGCAGGTGATGGAAAATAACACAGAAATATTTTCATGGCATTTGTTCCTTTTTTGTAGGCCAGGCATGGGCATCCATGACTGCAGGACTAAAGAGTAGGCAGCTGGGATGTGGTCCTTGGGGGGCGCTGGAGGGCAGATGAGGACTCTGAAATCCCTGAGCAACACGAAGACTGTTTTGCAATGAACTGCCTTTGCCTCAAATAGAATTCAAAATCAAAGAGAACTCTAAGTCAATGAAATATTAATTTTTTTCATGATAACTTCTTTTCTGTTATTTTGCAATACAGTATATCACTTTTTTCCAAAGGAAATATTCTTGGCGTTTTGATTTTGTTTCTGTAACACAAATATCCCAAGATCTCCTTTGACCATCACAACAGAGTTACGAAATAACATGGACAGACATGACTATCCCACATTACAGATGGAGAAAAGTGAAACGAACTTCCCTGACTTGTAAGGTTAATGAATGGAGGAGGTGAAGTTTGAAACCAAGTCCTTTGAATCTGAATCTGGAACTGCTAACTAAAAACTGAGATTGGAAAAACAAATAAGGACACTTTCGGTTGGGTGGACCAACAATGGGATTTTGAAATAAGCCACGGTATATAATTTGACCTTTTTGGAAGTCAGAGTAATGGGTTTTATGACTCTTCACTTGCATGTAAAAAGGAAGAGTGACAAGAGTGACTTTCTTCAAAGTCTTATACCAAGTAACTGTTTTCAGAATAACAAAATACTTGCTGAGGGAAAGTTATGTTTTTTTTTTTTTTAAGATTAATTTATTTGTGCATACAGAACTGGGGTAGAGGCCAGCGGTGTGGTGGGTGAGAGCTTTCACCAGAGAAAGAGCAGGGAGCAGAACAAGCAGATCAACGAAGTACACTGCTGAGGGGAGCACTCAGGGGAGGCCTGCTGCGCCCTGTGGTCACCTCCGGGGCAGGCGGGGATCGAACTCATGCTAAAGTGGCTTTAGCTTCTTAGTGCTGTGCTTTAACCCGCTGCACCGCCAGGGAGGGCTGGAAAGTTATGTTTCATTGAAAAATTCTTTCCCAAATAATTTTTTAAAAAGCTGCTAAATGCAGACAGAATGACAGAATGATGACAACCTCACCTCTTCGCCAGCCCTAATGCAAATGGTGCAAGGCCCTGTTCATGCATGATAGAGCGGTTGTGAAAGAGTCAGGCTGTAGCCTTCATGCATGAACACTGCAAGACCAGACATTGTGCATTTTCTTCACTGGTGCAAAAGGAGATGTGACCCATCACTTATTATTATTGTTATTATTTTTGCCAACTGACTTCAATTCTGAGTCTCATTAAGCCTCTAGATCTAATGGGCAGCCTAATAGAAAATCCTGTGCTCAGAAAATTGTGTTAGACAATACCTCAGGGATGCAGTCAGTCAAATTCAGAATGTGGGGAAGTTTCTTCCACACATAAATGACAGAAAATGCAGAGGAGGGGAACTGTTCGAGATTAAGATGAGAAACAAGAGTCCTATAAGGTTTGTTTATTTGAAGTGCCATGTGTGGGGCTTTGTTTGTGTCTTGATTCAGGCAAATTAACTTGTGAAATATTGGAGAAATTTGAATATCGACTGAGTACTAAATGCCAATAGGAATTATTGCTACAGTGGTTATTATGGTTATAGACCCAAATCTGGCTAGATCTGGAAGAGATACATACTGAAGGCTGATGAAATAATTTGAAAACTGAGGGTTGCATCCAATGCCCCAACCCTCGCAAAAATACATAAAAGGAAGAAAAAGGAAAAAGTGAAGAGGAGGGAGAGATAACTAGAATGCAGAATGTTGATCACTCTTGAAGCTGAGAATGGCTACTTGGAAGAGTCCTTACACTCTTTTGTTGTGCCTGAAAATTTCTGTCCCCAAATTCCTGAGCTACAACACCTATGATTTTTGGGTAACACATGCAAGGAGATTTTACTTGGTTCCAATTTCCTTTCTTCAAGATTTCACCTCCTTTGGGAAGAAGAAGTGTCAAGACATGGGATTGAAAGAGCTTCAGTTTTTCGAGTGATGCTGAGATTTCAAAGAACAAGGCTTATTTTCATTGTGTTTATGAGCTGCTGCTTTGCCATCACGTCTGTGCTGGGGCCGGTAAGTGACCGCCCCAGGAGGTTTGGGGGACTCAGGCTTTACAGATTAACATGTTCAAGTCCATGCCAGGATTAAGGATATATTTGTCTCTTAGCTGCTGCCCCCAAAATGAAGATTTGGGGGTCAGTAGAGTTAGCAGTAGTTAGGAGTGTGAATTCAGTGGCTGTTATTTGGGTTCAAACCTTGGCACTGTCCCTTAATTGCTGGTGACTTTGGGCAATTTATTTACCTTTCCTGAGTCCTAGTTTTCTCATGAAACCCCATGTGCCCTCAAGGGTAACCTCATGGTAACCCTCTTGGAGAACATAATGTTACCTGCCAGCAAAAACACCCAGAACATGGCCTGACTCAGAATGTGCTGGTTGCTCTGAGATCAATCTGAATGTCTTTGGAAAATTAGCTGGCAGAAAATAACGGTGCCACCCATATACCATGGTGCACATGAGCTCAGCTCTATTTCTTGTCCTCTAGTTGCTCAGCCCCAGCTTCTGGTTGCAGGGAGGGAGTCTCACTGGCCCTGGTCATGTGGTAGCCTGCAGAGAGGAGGGTCTAGGCTAGACTGCAGTAGAGTAGGCCAGAGTGTCCCCAGGAGAAAATTGAGGTGCTGTTATAAGCTAAGAGGAGAATGGATGTAGGGTCAAGAACTAACAAAGACAAGTGGCATAGGGAATGGTCAATGGACTGGATATTCTCCACTTGCCACTTAGGGCCACTGCTGTCCACTCTGCCATCCCTTGATGCATGATCTTTATGAATCCCGTCAAGGGGGGTCACTGGGCCTCTCACTGCTGGTTGGGTTTTGATCCATAGAGGAGACTCAGCGTGGACACTGGAGGGAAGGAGAAAGTGAGGCCAGGCTCTTCATCCCACCTCTGTGCTGGTCACTGGTGACCAGATTTCCCTCATGGGCCCTTCCTGTCATGACTGGATTCTTCTGAGTTCCAGGAAGGTCCCCCTCCCCTCTCCCTTGAGGTCGAGGGAGGTAAAAGTTTCACCTCCTGTATTTTCTGAAATTTTCCCACATGCATGTAAATAGTCACTGTCATGGTTCCTGTCGGGACCAGTTGTGAGGGGCAGAGTTGGGGTGTAGATTTGGGTCAGCTGAACTGAGTTTCCTGATGGTTCTGGCAGCCTCTGGCATTGACCTGGGGACTTCACACACATACCGCATTTATTCATTGCTTGAAAGATGGAGCTGGCAGTCTCACGACCCACCCTCCTACGCGCTTTCAGATGCTGCTGATCCCAAAGATCCTGGAATTTTCTGAAGCGCCGTCTGGGGGCGTGGCCTACGGAGCGGGGCTCTGCCTTGCCCTCTTCTTCATCGAGTGCCTGAAGTCAGTGTGTCTGTGCTCCTGCTGGATCATCAGCCAGCGCACTAGCGTCAGGTCCCGCACGGCCACTTCCTCCCTGGCCTTTGAGAAGCTGATGCAGTTTAAGTCTCTCACGCACCTCACCACGGGAGAGGTCAGTGACCGAAAGCCCAGGGGCCCCTCCCCGACTCCTTCCTGACGACTCTGCTCATGTTGCCCCCAACCCCTACCTGTCATCTCCTTTCACACGCTTCAAGACCCAGTTGACAGGCCTCACCTCCATGACAGCATCTCTGGAGCCCACTCCCCTGATATTAGCCCCATTCCAATGTACTTCAGCCCCACCGCTCTGTCCCTCAAAAAGCCTGGCACCTGCATGATGCAGGACAGATGTGCCAACAATATCTAAGTTAGCCATTGTCAACAAGAAGTTTTTTCTGAACTCGGGTTCCTACAGCCTACGAGGTTAATCGTTACCGTCACCATTGTTTCACTCTTCGCCATCTTAGTTCTGTGACCCTAGGGAACTTGTGCAGCCTCTGAAGCTGTGAGATAATGACAGAAGCTTGCTGTCTTGCAGGTCATCAGCTTCTTCGCCAGTGACATAAACTACATGTTCGAAGCCGTGTACTACGGGCCGCTCATCACTATCACCTGCTTATCTCTGGTTGCCTGCAGCGTCACCTCCTGCCTCACCCTTGGGCCTACTGCGCTCATTTCCACTGCTTGCTATCTCCTGATTTTACCACTGGAGGTAACATCTTTCTTTGCTGCCCCCTCGAAATTGGAGCCCCAGAAGGCCTGGGCTCTGGAATCTGGAGTCTCTCTGGGTGGGAATGGTGATGCCTGTTCCATTGAGGTTCAGATGCAGCTCCAACTCCTATCTCCAGCATCTCTCTGGCCACAGTGTAGGTCTAATTCATAAGAGGTGAAGGGCTGGGGCTTTCCTGGTGGCACAAGGGGTTAAGTCTCAGCACTATGAAGCTGTCCGCAGGCACTGCAACCGAGTTTGATCCCCAGCCATGGAACTGACCCACAGGGCACAGCAAATCCCTTTTGTCTCCCCGCTGTTCCCCATAGCAGTGTATTTCAGTCGGTCTGCCTGTTCTGCTCCCCACTCTGTCTCTGGCGAATCCTCTCACCTCTTGCACCTCTGGCCTAAGCCCCAGCTCTTGTGTGTACAAATAAATAAAATAAATCTATAAATAAATAAAATAAAATAAAGTAAAAAGAGGGGAGGTGAAGGACTGAAGGGTACCATACCCCCCACCCCCTTCCATCCGGGACCCTCTGCTTCACAGACTTCCCTCAGTAGCTATTATCTTTGTAAGATTTTGTTTCCTCTCTTCTACCCAGAATATGCTGATGTGATCATGTAGATGACACTAAGCATTTGGCTGAGCACAGTATAGTGGGGGAAGGGAATTAGCTGCCAGAGATTTGGGAAACACAAAATTAGAAAAACCAGGGTGTCATTACTTGTGTGCTGAGTTGTCGGAATCCACTGTTTTCCTTGCTGGTGCAGCTATTCTAACCAAATGGTGATTATAATTGTTAGCAGGGTAGGGTTTTCAAAAACTAAGGTGTCATTTGAGTTTAGTTAGTTCAGCCTCCTCCTCTCTTGGGTCCCAGGGATCAAACCCCCCAGGATGTGTGAGGACATGACAGCCTGCCGAGGCTGCTATGGGAAAACCAGTAAGGCCTGATTCAGAGTGGGGGGATGTGCCTGGGTCTTCCACCAGCAGCTGCAGTTCACCTTCAGATACGCTCCTTGTTGTCACGCTTGTCAGGCTAAACTCTCACTTTTGTCAAAAGAAGCTCTTGCTCTTTTTGTCTTTATTTTTTTCCGACCTTTTATTTGGTTTCTCCATATTCCACATTAAGTGAAACCATCCAGTGTTTATCTTTTTTCTTCTGACTTATTTCTGTGCACAGTCTCCCTTCCAGCTTTATCCACACTGCCAAACATGGCATGAATGTGTCTTTTTTGATGGCTAAGTAATATTCCACTGTGTCTCTAGACCACAACTGTTTGATCCATTCATCTGGTTTGGGGTATTTAGGTTGTTTCTATACCTTGGCTATTGTAAATAGTGTTGCAGTAAACATAGGGGTGCAGGTTTCCTTTTGAATTAGTGTTTTTGTTAAAATGGGGGGATAGGGTGGGAGAACTCTGAGGACGATACCTGAGGAAAGAAACAAATACTGTACAAAAAGGAAAAATGGTGTAAGAAATTAAACAACAATGACCACCATGCTCCTGACTCCAGGGACTCCTGACCAGAAGGGTCGTGAAGATACAGAAGCACACCTCAGAGGTCAGCGACAAGCGCATCTGTGTGACTAGCGAAGTGCTCACCTCCATTAAGCTGATTAAAATGTATACCTGGGAAAAACCGTTTGCAAAAATAATCAAAGGTATAGAAAATTCGGCTTTCTGCTCGGAGCCTGGGAATCCAGGGTGGGCCAGGCCTTTTGCTGCTGGGCAACCCCCTATGTGAATTGGGTGGCCTGACTGTGGGTCTTCACCTGTGCGCTTATAACATTCAACTTAGAATAGCATTTGACTACAGGCATACACAAAAAGGTTAATAATGGGTTTATTTACAAGGGAAAGGGAAATGAATAACTCAGTGGAAAAGAGAGAGAGAGGGATAAGTTGGTTAATGCATCCTACCAGTTCCACTAATCTAGAACCCCAATAGCAGATAAAACTGGTAATAGTCAAGAGCTCAGCTGCAAGCCACAAGCCAAAAGACCCCCAAAGCCCACATGTCTGGTTTTATAACAATCCAAACAAAATGGCTGCTCAACTCCTCTCTTAGTCTTAGCAATCTCCCCTTTGGTGAGGCTGGGATTTGTAGTTGTATGAAACATGGCTGCTTAACTCCGCCCTTGGGTCCTCACAGTCCTCCCTTTGGTGAGGCTGGGATTTGTAGTTGTATGAAACATGGCTGCTTAACTCCGCCCTTGGGTCCTCACAGTCCTCCCTTTGGTGAGGCTGGGATTTGTAGTTTTGGTGTCTGGAGCGGGGGTGGAGTCCACAAAACCTGTATCTGTAGAGATTCCCCTTAACACTTTTCACTTTCACTTGCAAACCCTGGGGCTTGTTCTGTGCTTGCTGTTCATTGTGGTGCATTACTTTCTTCCCCCCAGAGCTCCGAAGGAAGGAAAGGAAGCTATCAGAGAAATGTGGTCTTGTCCAGAGCCTGACCACCATCACCCTGTTCTTGGCCCCCATGGTGGCCATGGTGGTGATGTTCCTTGTGCACACATTCTTGCAGCAGCAACTCAGTGTGTCAACAGTGAGTGTTTGGTTTACCTTACCTGCCCCACCCCCCCGTATTCCTGGTAGTGATGGGGAGTGTTCACCTCTATTTTTTCTCAGCCCATGCCCTGCAAAGGTCTGGAGTTTTTGCAAATGGATATTACTAACTGATTTTGATTTTCCAGATGTTTAGGGAACATGAACTGTCTATCGTCTGTGTCAACTCAGCTGAGAAGCTGACATCTTTAATAGAAGCGATGGGAGGGAGAAGTAGGGACGTGGATGTGTGGCTAAATCCCAGTGATTCTTAGACACATCATGAAGTTGAGACTCTACATTGAGAATCTTCTCTGTTCTCAAATTAGGGCCCTGAAAACATACTTAAACTAAAAAAGCATATCTTCTCTCTTTCTGTTTCAAGTCCCACATGGCCCTGAGAAGCAGCGGTAATCTTTCAGGGTTAGGAATGCCCGTTCTTTGGGGAGACCCAGGGAGGGTGCTGCTCTGGAGAGGTTGAGATTCAGTCAGCCAAGGAGGCAGGAAACTGCGCCCCAAGCAAGGGGAGGGTATTTGAGGATCTGCAGTATGGACTCATTTGTGCTCCACACAGTGGTTGTGTCTGCCAGGAACCCACCAGAGAAACATCCCTTGGAAGTCTGAGGGTGGAAGTGGGGGCTGCATATGGAGAGCTTTTAATGGGACTTTAAGGTCTTGCTGTGTTAGCATCAGCCAGGACGGAGCCAAAGCCTTCCTGCTCCAATGGGGTATATCCTCAGATTAGCCTGGATGAAGAGCGGGGTGCAGATGAGCCATGGTTGGAAGACCTCTGAGGTCCCCTCTGGGATCCAGAGCTTGAGCTGCTTCACTATACAGTCAGAAGGTCTGGAAAGAGGGAGGCGAGGATTAAGCATGAAGCTTAGAGGATCTGTGTATAAGAAAAGAACATCTAAGGAAATGAATAACTATGATCTTAACAGCAATAGTAATAGTACAAAGCTCACTTATGCATGAGTCCTCAGTGTTTTCTGACTTTATTCCTGTGCCAACTTTAGGATTTTTGCCCCTGCACTAACGGGGTGGGGAGCTTTCGTGGGGGAGGGGGGCAGCCTGCTTAGAATTACCCAGGAGTTCAGCTACAACAGATATGTGACCGTCAGACTCAGACTTTAAGATAAGCACCCTTTCCCCACTCTTTCCAGTCTCCCCCAAATGCCACGTGGCCTCTGCCAAGTGAAGCACTTGCTTGTTGGCAGCTGCAGGCTGTGGCTTTGTGGCTTGAGACCCAGGCTGGGGGCTCGGTATGGGGTGATCTGGATGGAGCTTCAACCCTCACTGCTTCCTCCCCGCTTATCCAGGCCTTCAGCACGATGGCCATCTTGAATTCCTTGCGACTGTCGGTGTTCTTTGTACCCTTTGGAATCAAAGGCCTCACCAACTCAGAGTCTGCAATGGAGAGATTCAAGGTGAGTGGCCAGAGAACTGGCTTCACAGCCCCCTGCCTGCCCCACCCCCTCTGTTTCTGCAGAATTGACCCCAGCCAAGGCAGAGTCCAGCCTAGGCGGAGCGATTAACCCAGTGAGCCCTGTGCCCAGCTGGTGTGGGGCTGGGCAGACAGAGGGATCAGGCTGGCTGGCGGGACCTGAGATCTCTGGAGGGTACCTGACCCTCTCCAGGTGTGTGGGGGGCTGTCCTAATGGTTTCATAAAAACAACAACAAACCTATTGCTTGTATGTAATTGCACTTGTTAAGACTATTCACTGTAAATGTCCCTAGACAAACTACCTGATTGGAACTAAAGAATGACATAACCTCTATGGGAATTAGAAAACAGTAATAAGCTGGAGCCGCTTAGAAAATTGAGAAATTTTATATGACAATGCAGATTTCTGAATTGCCTTGAATAATCAGGAGACCTGGCAACACTTGGTTCTCATCCTCTCATGGGCACCTGGAGTGGCAGTTAGAGCTGCCCTGTTTGGAGGGGCATTTACATGCAGCTTGCTGCACACCCCACCATGCCCTGTCGCACCTCCAACACTGGACCTTGCCATTTTTTATCTTAGCGGTGGTCACTTGCTTCCATAGCTCTTCACCCCCCTCGAGACACCTGAGTTTAAAAGCCAATTTGAAACCCAGTTAGAACTCAGTAAAAGCTCAGTTTCACTAGCCGTGTAGTCATTTCACTTCAGTGCGTGTGGTCCCGGCTCATTCATTCACTCAGACAACATTTACGGACCCCACACCAGACCTGAGCATGTCAGAGGAGCCCTGATCTCAGGGAGTTCCAAGCCGGTATTGGAAATGGTCACTAATAAGTAAATGAGTGACCACATAAGGTAACTCTGGAGTCACCTGCAGAGCTACGATGGCAATGAACTGTGATGCTCTGGGGTCAGACAGGGGCGGCTGAGGCTGCCGTGGAGGGGCTCACGCCCGCCGGCCCCTCTGGAGAGGTGACAACTATATATGTATGTCTGGATATATATTGCATCATCATTCGTTTTTGTACAGTTTGCTTTATATACACAATAGAGGTGACTTGAGCTGAGTAATGATGACTTTGCAGAGGGCACAAAGCCCAGAGGTTGGCAGAAGCTTGTCCTGTTTGGGCGACTCCAGAGCCTTACTCTGCCAACAGCCCCAGGGCTCCCGAGCTTCTCAGTCACTGCACTCAGCACCCCACTGCCTCCTTGCTCACTCCCCTTCTGTGCTGTGTTCCTCTGCAGGGTGGGCAGAAGCAGGGAAGGTGTGATTGGGAGAGTCAGCTGGGAGATCAGAGGGCATACGCCTGGAAAGTGGGTGGGGGCAGCGTGGTTATTGGGGGACATGAAGAGCAGGCAGAAGGGTCTGGCGGAGGTCCAGGCCCTGGGCTACCCCTGCTCCAGGCCGGAGGGGTCAGAGCTGTGCAGCCCCACAGCCAGGTGACATGAGGGCTGCCGGCTTCAGTGGTGTCTCACTGATAATCATTATGTAATGAGAAATATAAGTAAATGCCCTGATAACTCACAGAATAAAGGGGGCCATGCAATGCCCAGCAATGACTGTTGGACCCCAAACATTATAATTAATTCATTATACCAGAGAGCTAATTAAGAAAATAGCCCATCTCTTTTTTTCTTTTGAAATTGTTTCTGTTTTTCTATAATGTGGGCTCATTGCAAAAAGTTCAATGCAGAAAAGTAGAGAGAATAAAAACCGTTCAGCACACTTTATATAGAGATAAGTCATTCATCCAAAATGCCAAGAAATGCAGTATAGTGGTGAGCAGAGTGCCTTCCAAAATGTCAATACGTGTCTTTCTAGATCTCTTTTAAAGCTTATCTCCAGGTAAGGAATGCGAATATAATTTGACTTCAACAAGACCATGCTTTTTACCCCTTTTTTAAATGCTAGAATGCATGAAGATGAACTCATGTTTTACAGGGAGGGAGATGGCGATGTAGAGCGATGACACACTGATGCTCCATTTCAAAGTTGAAATTACACTAAACAGCGTTCCCCACGGTGGGGGATGTGGGCAGGCATTTTTACTTTTAACAGCTGTAAACAATAATCAGAAAAATTGTGCACCGATTCAATAGCTGTTACCACTAAGATGGGGCTGATGTGGGTTTCCTCTCATGTAAAAGCAAACAAAGTTGCTATTCGTGCTGGAGCAGGCAGGTGTGAAAGTGACCCTCTGGTCTGGAATTTGGTAAACCTGCCTTTGGCAGAAACTGGCCTCCTGACTGGCCGGGGCTGCTCCACCATGCAGTGCGTGCTAGGGACGTGTAGACCTGGCCACCAGTCGGGCCCGTGAGATGGGTACGTGTTCCACCGGGCACAGAACTGAATCCCTCCCTTGCTTTTTGTCTGTGCAGAGATTTTTCCTCCAGGAGAACCCTGCTTCTTATGTCCAGGCATTGAAAGACCCTAGCAAAGCCGTCGTGGTGGAACAGGCCACCTTGTCCTGGCACAAGACCCATCCTGGGATTGTCAATGGCGGGTTTGAAACGGAAAGGAATGGACATGCCCACGATGGGCTGCCTGGGGCTCAGCCGCCACCTGGAGCCCCCAGAGCAGAGGACAGAAGGGACAGCCTGGGCCCAGAGTTGCACAAGATCAACCTCTCAGTCTCAAAGGTAGCCAGCCTCCCCGCAGTGTAGGGCCGGCTGCCAGGATTTCAGCCTGGAGGCCAGGAGCTGGCACATCGCTTCCTTAGCTAATAACTGCCTTACCCAAACTGCCTTTTAAAATGCAAATTTTTCTTGGAGGGCAAATACAGAAAGTCTTTCACACTTCCCTGTGAATGGATTGATTTTCTAAAATGGTTTTGGAATAGCAAGACCCAGAATCACAAGCTGTGCGCTGGCCCTTGGAGGGCCCCAGGATGTAGAAAGAAGGGGAAGGAGAGTAAACAGTGTTGATGAAGTCCCTTGTGTGTGCCATGCACGTCCTGTGTGTTTTAATTCTGGTCCTGTGTGAACCCCTCTACCTACTCCTTCTCCAGCCATGCCCCTGCTTGCTCCTACCTCGCTCCTCTCTGCTCTCTGCCGATAGAAAGCCAAAGATATTAACATCTAATGATAACACAGAGACTGACAAGAACTAAATAGATATGAATATAAATAGTAGTAGGTGATAATATCTAATGTCCATAACCGATTCAGTTCACCTCCCATCTCTACGCCATTTAAATTTAAATCCCATCTCTACGCATTTCCTCTAGCCTTGAAATCTGCTTCGAGCTCCACACTCGCCTGTCTATTTTAATACCCTCTCTTAAGTACCTACTGAACCTTTCAAAAGAAACAAAGTGAGAAATTACTCTCTGATGCCCTGCCTCTGTCGTCCATTGCCCACTGTCCTGCCCGCAGTTAAGAATCTGGGAGTCAAATGTGATCCATTTCCCTTCCTTCCACCAATCCAACCCTCGGATACCTGTCAGCTTTCTCACCTGCTTTCACAAGCCAGACACCTCTCACCACTGCCCCTCCACTGCCCTGGCCCCAGGTACCTGTGTGCCCACCCAGCTCCTCCACCAACATCTTTCCTGGTCTTTCTGCTTCCATATTTGTCCTGATAGAATTCTCCACGCTCAGTGAACAGACAGCTCTTTCTACAATATAACCAGCTCGACCAAAACACTTCATAACTTCCCACTGAACTTAGGAGAGGGCCCAGGGCTCCTTCCCACACCTTTGACCTCTCCCCCATTCATTCTCTCTGTACCACCCACACTGACGCTCTTGCAGCTCTGTGCCTGTCAACGCGGCTCCTGCCTCAGGACCTTTGCACGGGATGTTCCCACAGCCCGGAGCATTTGTTGGTCTAGATCTTTTTTGTGTCATTCAGATCTCAGCTGCAAGGACAGCTGCTAAGAAGCCTGAAATTGATTTAATCCTCAACTTTCTCTCATAGTAGCCAATTTCATTTTACTTACATCTTTTATTACTATCTGATATTATTTGTTTATTAATTTCCTGGTTTGTATCCCCCCACTAGAATGTTAGCTAAGAATGCCATTTCTTTTCTTTTTCAACTGGTGCATAGAAAAATCTCAAATGACTGATGAGTGAGTGAATGCACACATGAACTCTGTGACACTTGGCTTCATTATCATTTTAAAGACGAACAAACTGAGACTCAGATTTGTTGCCCAAGGTCATGGGCCTGAATAGATGTTACCTGGAGTTGGCATTTTTTTGCCCACAAATTCCTCTCCATCATTCCCTATGCTCCCCTCTTTTGCGTTTGCCCCATCCCAGCTCTGCAGGGGGAGCCCAGAACTCCGCTGGAGCTTTGCCAGCCTAAGGGACCCTGGGCTGTGTGCTTTAGTGTCGGGTGGTCTGGAAGCTATAAACGCGTGATCTGCTCTGAATGAGGCTTGTGCATCCTGACTCCGTGCTCCTTGGCTTTGCAGGGGATGGTGTTAGGAGTCTGTGGCAGCACGGGGAGCGGCAAGAGCAGCCTGCTGTCAGCCTTGCTGGGGGAGGTAAGTGACATGTGACCGGCTACGTCCATCCGGCCAGACCCCCCAGCTCAGTGGCCCCAGGAATTCACAGCAGCACTTTCTTCCACAGGGGTCTGAATCCCATGCAACTTATGTAAATTGAAGACTGTTGAACTCTGCAGGCGTATTTTAAACTTTGTTCTGGTTTAGGGTGGCTGGTCTCCTTGCTTTGTTCTCTATACTCTACATATAAGTGAAATTATCTGGCACTTGACTTTCTCCCTCTGACTTATTTCACATATCACAATCCCCTCAGTTCCATCCACGATGTCACAAATGGCAAGGGTTCATCTTTCTTTTTAATAGCTGAATAGTATTCCACCACATGAGTTGGTGGGCAAGGGAACAAAGCAGGAAGGGGACTCAGTAGTGTATGTGACAGGAATATGGGTGTTCTTGTGGTTTGTGTGGTGTGGTGATGTACTTCTGAGGAGGCTGGCTCTTCTGAACCACATATAGTGCTGTATACCAATGTTACCCAATAATGATGATGATGATGATGATAAGTTAAAAAAAAAGAGCATTCATCAAATTGGGGGGAAGGTTCAATTATAAATGTGCTTGAGCCTCCCCCTGAGGGCCACGTGGACCCACCTTCTCTGTTCTCTGCTCCCTCACCATGTTTTGGTGGGATGATGACACAGGGGTCTCCATTTTTTTTTTTAAAGATTTATTTATTTGTACATACAAATTGGGGTATAGGCCAGAGGCTCAGGGGCGGTGAGAGGATTCACCAGAGACAGAGTGGGGAGCAGAACAGGCAGATCTACGAAGTACACTGCTGAGGGGAGCAGCGGGTGGGTCAGGAGAGGTCTGCCACGCCATGTGGTCACCTCGGGGCAGGCGGGGATCGAACTCATGCGGAAGCGGCTTTAGCTTCTCAGTGTTGTGCTTTAACCTACTGCGCCACCAGAGAGGGCCCAATCTCCATGTTTAATGTGATAAAAAATCACTTCACAAGGACAAATTAGGCTGGGATAGTGTTCCTTGTGAAACAGCATTGCAAATGTGGAGGGAGAAATGAGGAGGGAGGGAGGGAGTGGTGGTGGGGGGGCGGTGAGAGGAGACCCTCCCCAGGCGGGAGGCAGGGAGTTGGCAGGCCGCTGGCTGCCCGCCTTGACAGCTGCATGCCCCGCAGCACTGCCGTGGACATTCCATGGTCTGCTCAGTCCATACCTGTGCGGCTTGCAGGTCAACCCACCCCTTCTGCAGGTGCCCCAAACCCCAAATTCATCCCCCGAAATGTCTGAGGTCACACTGCACACCTCTAGACAGCAACACCTGAAAACGGCCTCAACACCTGACTTCTGTTTATGGCCACCTTCCCTCCTGGGGTTCTCCGCCCCAGCTGGGAACCCCATTCCCAGGGCTTCTGTCCCCTCCTCCTTTCTTTGCCCATCACCCCGTCTTCCCACATGTTGAGAGAACTAACAATTACCCTTGTTTTACTGAACCCTCCCTCAGTTCCTTCTCCCAGATGCACAAGGCCAGACACATCACCTCCTGGGGATGAAGTTGTGTGGTCAGTACTGTGCTCTCTCACACCACAGCCCGGCAGCTCAGTGCTTTACATGTGATGGTCTTTCCCCAGCTTCTTTGCCACTGGGGAGAAAAAGAACCCACTTCTCAAAAATGGCAAAAATAATTTTATTATTATTGGTTTTAGTTTTCAAAAAAGATTTGTTTTATTTATTTGTGCATACAGGAGCTGAGGTGTAGGCCAGACGTGTGTCTGGGGTGAGAGGGTTCACCAAAGACAGAGTGGGGAGCAGAACAGGCTGATCTAACTGAAATACGCTGCTGAAGGGAGCAGTGGGGAGACAGGAGAGGTCTGCGGAGTCATGTGGGTCAGCTCTCTAATGGGGGCTCGAATTCATGCTGCAGTGGCTACTGATAGCTCCATGGTGCTGAGACATAACCCATTGCACTACCAGGAAGGTGGCTGTGTTTTTAAACTGACCATAGAGAAAAGCAGCAAGAACGTTAGAGTAGAGACCTGGATATCCACCAGCCAGATGCAACAGTTGATAGCATTCATATATTTGCCTTCCCCTGGTAGTTACGTATTTTGTAGAACTATTTTACTTTACAGAGACCGTGACCCTTTTTCAACTAAGTTCCTCATCATGATGTCGAAAGAATAAGGACATTCCACATCTGACCATGCTGCCGTTATCTCTCCTGATATTAGTAACAATTCTGTCTGCTTCTCATCCCAAGTCGCCTAATCCAGGAATGGAAGGAGATGACTCAGACTTCCCATCTGACATGAAAGGCAGGGGAGTGAGGCTTGCTTGGGGAGGAGCTGGGGAGATAGGAAAAAAAAAAAGTTGTTTTTCTTTAATCCAAGTCTTGTGTTTGGTCCCAGTAGGAACTGGTCAGACATGGCTGCTGCTTCCCCTTGGTCTCAGGCCTGTTTCCTAACCTTGTCACAAGGCCCAGCTATAGAGGCCCTCCTGGGTCCTGGAGCCATGTGGCCCTGTGGTGGCTGAGACAGGCAGTTTTGGCCGGGCCTAGCCAGGCCTGAGGCTCTCCTCATTCTCCTACAGATGCACTTGCTGGAGGGCTCCGTGGGGGTGCACAGAAGCCTGGCCTATGTCCCCCAGCAGGCCTGGCTCATCGGGGCCAGCGTCAGGGACAACATCCTCATGGGAAGCCAGTTCGACCAGGCCCGGTAAGCTTCTGGGGGGGCTGAGAGGGACGTGGGGTGTGTAACTGGTGTGGGGAGGGCCCCCTAACTGCTGCTAATAATTTTACAACTGCTGACACTTGCTGGGTGCGCTTTAAGGTGCCACCGCATTTCCACCTCACTGTGAAAGAAAGACACTTAGCATATCCATCTTCTGGATCAGTCTCCATGAGGTGAAGTATTAATAATTTGCTCAAAGTCACAGGGCTGGGAGGATATGATAGGGGCACGATTTACACTCAGTTGCTCTAGGACTGTGGTGGTGGCACACAGGTGAACTGGTGGTAGGAAGTCCATGGGGATTACAAACTGAGATGGAAAAAGAATGATGAATGATGCAAAAAATATATATAGGGAATATATATGACACATATATATTCTGAATATATATACATTCATATATATATATGAAGAATATATATGACCTATATATTCTCTCTCTATATAGAATATATATGACAATTCCTACACAAGTACATTTAGAGTTTAGTGTGTATACGACATATCAGAGGCTTTTTGTACCAGACCAGTTATTTCATACAGTAACCACAAAAACATTCCTGTCTTTTTTTTTTTTTAAAGATTTATTAATCTATTCATACAGAACTGGGGTACAGGCCAGAAATGTGCAGGGTGAGAAGATTCACCAGAGACAGAGTGGGGAGCAGAACAGGCAGATCGACGAAGTACACTGCTGAGGGGAGCAGCGGGCGGGTCAGGAGAGGTCTGCCACTCCATGTGGTCACCTGCGGGGCAGGTGGGAATTGAACTCATGCGGAAGTGGCTTTAGCTTCTTAGTGCTGTGCTTTAACCCGCTGCGCCATGAGGGAGGGCCACATTCCTGTCTTTTTAATATAGGAAGCCACCTATTGTAATCTCCTTTGCAAACATTGTATTTATTCATTCTCCTTTGATGCTTGACACTTAACCTGAATGGCTGCTTTTATGTGTTGGGGGTTGACAAAACAGGAAGTAGAAAGCATCATCTGACTTTATATTTCTCTTCCTGGACAGACATTTTAGATATAAAACAGCTGAACCTTCTTTCTTTGCCCATCACCCCGCCTCCCCACATGTTGAGAGAACTAACAATTGCCCTTGTTTTACTGAACCCTCCCTCAGTTCCTTCTCCCCGCTGCACAAGGCCAGACACATCACCTGCTGGAGATGAGGTTGCTCTCAACGAACTTCACATTTAAGTGTTAGGCTATTTAAGCTCAAAATAACCCTCCCTCTCTAACAATGCTTCTTTTAAACTCCTCTGGTATTAGTTTGTTCCTGAATTTCCTAAGACTAGAGGCAAAGTAAATGGGGTGTGGAGGGGATCGGTTGGAGGGGTGCCCCCACCTGCGTCCTCCTTGCCCAGGGCAGGGCCCCTCTCCCTCCCTGGGGCCTGGGCTTGACCTGCTTGAGGCCCACCCTGGGCGATCACATGCTCTTCAGTGGGGATCCAGGAAAAGTAGGGGCATCCACTTGCCATCTCCTCCCCACCTGCTCCTCTTCTCTAGTGGCCAGATTCTCCCCAAAACTCCCATAAGTGTAATGGCATCATGGAATGTGCAGCCAGGGGACCTGACACCCCCTTTCTGATTCCCTCCACATCTAACTGGTCACTGGACAGCTCTGTGCTCTCAATATCGCTGTCTCCTTGCATGTCCCCTCTTGGTCTTCTCCCTGGCAGGCCCAGGCTGAGCCCGCCTGCTTGAGCTGTTCCCACTGGCCCCGCCTGGGGTTTCTCTGGCTCACTGCTCCTCTCAGCCAGCTTCCTGGGCAGTTGTCTGCCCCACGACTCCTATCCATCATGGCTCTGCTTCCAGACTCTAGGGATCATAGGGGAGGTTTTGACATGATTGTGGAAAAATAAAAACTCACCAATTCTTGGACTCAGCAAATCTACTTGATAGGGATTTAATTCAGAAACTCACCCATGAATACAAAGACCCACATGTGAGAATGTTCACACAGAAAGTGATTAGAAATGGTCCTGAATGTCCAGCATTAGGATACTGGTTAAATAATTTCTGGTGCAGAAGGAAAAAGAAAAATATCGGATGGTTTCATTTATAGGAGGAATATAGGGGAACCAAATAAGGAACAGGAAAATAAGATACTTGCAATAAACCAAAATTAGCAGGCAAACTGCATTCTGCAGGGGCAGGGGGAAGGGGCCAGAACAGGAGTGGGAAGAGACCAGCGGACTATGGTGATGAGAAACAGGTGAGCTGGGGGTGGGACCTCCGTGGGGACTACACCTGAGAGGAGATCGCAGACATGGTACAAAAATGCGCAATGATGTGAAATGTATGTAAATAAAGTATAAAAAACAAGGAAAATAAAATGAAGCGGTAGCAATTACTAACAAAAAACACTCTGGTGTGGCTATGTAGTGCTATTAAAACAGTGTAAACCTATATATGTTGCATGAGACCTACACGACTAAATTATTTATGATTCAGTACAGAAGAATCTGTGGTAGGGACCGTGCCCCAGGAGAGCGAATGAGGCTCAAAGATGCAATTTTGCCCCACACTGTATCTTCTTTTTGTTCCGCTTCAATATCAAGTACAGATATTAGGTTAAAAGAAATGAAAGGGGCCCTCCCTGGTGGCGCAGCGGGTTAAAGCACAGCACTGAGAATCTAAAGCCACTTCCGCATGAGTTCGATTCCCGCCTGCCCCGGAG